AGATGATTCAGAATTGGGTTTCCTTCCTCACTTTGCCACATACTATCTGAGCGGTGTTGGACCCCTTACTTAACCTCACTGAGCCTTGACCTCTTTCTGGTTTTGTTTTTCTGGTGGTGACGGGGTGAGAGAGGATTTCACTCTGTAGACCAGGTTGATTTTGTTTCCAGCAATCTGAAATCAGGAGGCTGGGGTTACAGGCTTGGCTCACCGTGGCCAGCTGACATCAGTAAATTGAAGTACAGCTACCTAGCACTCTTACAGCATTGAATGAGGTAATGTCTAGGCAGCACTCATTGGTGCCTGGTGCCGGTGTGCTGTGGAAACTGAGCAGACAGTGCAAAAGCCATCAGGCCTGGAGCCTCTTTTGTTTTGGTTTGGGTTTTTGAGGCAGGATTACTTTCTCTGCATCCTTGGCTGTCCTAGAACTTACTCGGTAGACCAGGCTGGCCTTGAACTCAGAAATCCAACTGCCTTTGTCTCCCAAGTGCTGGGATTAAAGGTGTTACCACCACCACCACCACCCAGCAATCAAGTGTTTTGAATTTCAGAGATGAATGTAGTTCCAGAATGAAATGGGCCGGGGTGTAGCTCAGTAGTGGAGGGTCTACTTAGTGGATGTGAGACCCTGGGTCCATCCCCAGCACCAGAGAGTAGTAAAATACCTATGTATAGTAGTATATATACACCATTATATACAGTATAGTATTATACCATTGTACAGTATCCAGTCTGAGACACCACTCCATGACCAAGCATACTAGTATTCTGAATAAACACACAGGAAAAGCTGGCATGGTAGCACTTGAAGTAACTGAAGTACTTGGGAAGCTGAAACAAGAGATTGTCTAGAGTTCATGATCAACCTGAGATTTTTAATTAGTTAATTTATTTTTAATGAAGCCAAAGCCAGGCATTGGTGGCACTTCCCTTTAATCCCAGTACTCGGGAGGCAGAGGCAGAGGCAGGCAGATCTCTGAGTACAAGGCCAGCCTGGTCTACAGAGCAGAGTTCCAGGACAGCCAGTGCTGCACAAAAGCTTTAGGCTCATCCAGGCTTGGTAGCTAGCACTCAGGAGGCTGAGGCGGGATAGAGCTAGAGTGTTGGAGGCCAGTTTGGACTGTATATAGGGAGACCTTGTCTCAAAATACAAACGGAGAGGGGAACCTAAGCTGATATTCAGGGCTTGCCTAGAATATTTTTGCTAATTCCTCTCTGCAGCTATCCTCACATTCCCCCAAAACAAGCGACCACAGGGGTCAGGGTTTCAGCAAAGCAGCATCTGGTCATCACCAAGCATAAAAGGGGGAAGCGGGTGTCATCAACCCCCAAAATATCCCAAGGAGAAAGTGCACAACCTTTGCCAGGCTTGCACACTGGCACATGTAATCTCAGCAGAGGCAGGAGCATTGTAGATGGTGAGCCCAGGCTAGCTTGGACTGCCTAGTGAGCCGTTGTCTCAAACATCAGTCAGGTCTTTGTCTGATAGTAACTGACAGAATCTTGCTCCTCATGGTTCCTGTGTGTCCTTGAGTGCTGAGAGGCTGAGGAGTAGGGTGACAAGCGAGGGGCTAGAGGTGGATAATAGGCTGCTGAGCATGTTGAGTCATCTGTCTTCCCTCTCGGGAGGCTGCCTGTTGATTCAGAGCCATGATAATTGACACCAGTTTCACCTTGCTGGGAAGGCCTGGCTATAATTGGACAGCGTGATGTAACCACATGGCTGTGTTCAGCAGTCACTTACTTGGTGTTGTGTGTTAAGTTCTCACTGCAGCTGTTGAATCAATGTCAAGCCTGTTGCCCTATGTGCACTTCACATGCCTAGGCCACCTGTGCCAAGGGAGTGGTGTAAGCATCATGGATTCATACCTTGTCAAACCTGTTACTTCCTGTGTTCTCTGTAGAGCTGGTGGAGTTGAAATCTATAATGGGGATCGAAAGATAAAGGTTTCCAACACTCTGGAAAGCCGGCTGGACCTCATAGCGCAACAGGTGAGTGCGGAAAGCTTCTGGTTACCTTTTGACTGGTGTAGTTGAACTTTTTCCATCCCGCCTGCCAGGCCTGCCAGCTCCCAAATAACCACACAGAGACGTCTTGTTAATTATGAAAGCCTGGCCAATAGCTTAGGCTTGTTTCTAACTAGCCCTTACCATGTTAAATTAGCCCATTTCTATTAATTTACTTTCTGCCTCATAGCTTTTTTTTTTTTTTTCTTTTTCTTTGAGACAGTGTTTATCTGTAGCTTTGGAGGCTGTCCTGGAACTCACTTTGTAGACCAGGCTGGTCTTGAACTCACAGAGATCCACCTGCCTCTGCCTCCTGAGTGCTGGGATTAAAGGCGTGCGCCACCACTGCCTGGATTTCCCTCATGGCGTTTTTTACCTTTACTCTGCCATGTTGCTTTCCCGCTTTCTCTTGTCTGGCTGGTCTCTTCTTTCACCTCTGCCTGAAAAGTCCTGTCTAGCTTTTGGCTATTAACCCAGTGGTGTGAAAGAATACCCCACAGCAGGCTGGCATGCTCTCAAGTGCTGCAAGGACACGGGCCTTTGAAAGTGAGTGCAAGGCTGCTGGTTCTCACGTCTCCACGCATGCTTAACAGCAGCATTGCCAACTTGCTTAATCCTTGATTTAGGGGTGTGGTTAGGCCAGGTGTGGTAATGCATGCCTACAGGCAGCCAGATTTAGCGTGAGTTCTGACGCTAGCCTGGTCTACAGAGTGAGTTCTAGCACAGCCAGGACTACACAGAGAACTCCTATCTCAAAAAGGAGTAGTTTAGCCAGACAAGGTAGCGTTGCTACTTGGGAAGCTGAGGTAGAATTTCTGTGTTTGAGTCCAGTCTGAGCTACAAATTGAGACCTTGTTTCCAAGAAAGTGCAATATGCTGAAAATGGAAATGGTTGTCTTGTGGCCACAGCACTTATCTGTATCATCTTTGGGTAACCTGGAGTTACTATAGCATCCAGTAATATAGATGAGTAGTTAAATGGACATGAAAGCTTCAGGCCTGGCCTGGGCAGATAAATAGCTCAGTGGGTAAAGTGCTTGCCTCACAAGCTTGAGGATCTGAGTTCAATATCAGGAAACTACATAGAAAGCCAGGCATGATGACTATTTGTAATCCCAGCGATAGGGAAGCAGGTGCAGGAGGATTCCTGGGCTTACTGAGTCAGTAAACCCCAGGCCAAGGAAAGGTGGCTCCAAAGGGTCATCTGAGGTTCTCCTGTGGCCTCCATAGCATGTAGGCATGGTGTCTCCCTCCCTCGTCTCCCCACCCCCTCTCTGTCTCCTAAGGCCAGATAGAGTGATGCACACCTATATAATTCCAGTATCAGGAAACAGGAGGATTGCCAGTTCCAGGCTAGACAATAAAACCCTGTTCCATCTCTAGCCACATCCACACAGCTCTCTCTCCCTGCCCCTCCCAACACGCACACACACACCCCTACCTTTCAGGTCTTTGCCAGTACATAAAGTTGTATTCGAGGGCGCACAGTAAAACTGCCAGCATGACCATTTCACGATATGGTTAAGGCTTTTATTGTAGTTTTGAGAGAGAGCAGCCAGAGACATCTGGAAGGGTCCAGAGCAGAGAGAGAAGGAAGTAGACCAACCATGGCCAGTGGACTGGAAATGGAGGGCTGGGAGAGAATAGTGGAGTTATGGAAATGAGAGAGAAAGTGAGAAGAGCAAGAGAGAAAAATGGGGGCACAGGGGTACCTTGGGCAAGTGAGAGGGGCTAGGATGCCAGCTGTGGGCTTTGAAATGTGTGACAGGTACTTGTGATAGATACTGAGGCAGCCTGGAGATCTGCAGGGTTTTGATACACAGCCACAGGTAACCATATGTCGTTCCTGCCAGAGGTAAGGGAAGTGACTCCTTTTGGCAGGTGGGACCAGTTTTACAAGTTCCTAAGGAATGCTGGCTTTTATGTAACTGCTAAGAGTTTATTTGACCCCTAAAATTTGCCACAGCCTTAGACATTTGAGGGAGAGTCCTTGGAGCTATGTTTTAACGAGGCCCTCGGTGTGAACTCCATTCTCAGTGCTATGTGTGGTCACTCCTGGCAGGTTGTGGGCATTCAGAAAGAAGGTATCTGACCCACTGTGTGGTGCAGGAGCGCTGTTGACACACCATCTCCTGTGTGGCTTCTTTTCCCTGTGCCTTTTGTGAACAGTCGGTGTTAGCCCACACTGTGACTGCTTCAGTGCCCCTGGTACAGTGCAGCGGATAGGACGGATCTGCTGTGCTTAGCTCTGACTCTCCCCATGTGACAGTCCCCATGAGGTCCTTATTTACTGACTGGCTTCTTTACAGATGATGCCGGAAGTTCGGGGAGCCTTGTTTGGTGCAAACGCCAATAGGAAGTTTCTGGACTGAGCCTGGAGAGGTGCAGTTCATCCAAGCTGTACTCTTGTACTCGTGGAATAGCAGATATCTGTGGCTTCCTCTTTCTGTTCTAACTGGTAATCAGTGGATCCCCTCTGCAGCCAATGCCCTCAGCCCAATGTCAACAGAAGGGAGGGCCACATGGTGTGGGCAGGAGCCCAGCCCCGGCTCGTGTGACACCACAGCTGTGCACTGGTTCTGCAGCAGGACTCGAGGGTCAGATGGTGCTGCGTGGCCCTCACCAAGGACCCATCCTCCCTGCTCCTAGTCTAGAGTGAGATGTGCATGCTGTCCCTGCTCTTTGGGTGTCATGGCATGTGGGGCTTGCATTCCTCCAGCAACACTAGCTACACTGTTACTGTTTGGGTCTAGTCTTCCTTATCTGTAAATGTGATTTAAAATCTAAGCCACAAATACTCCTTATTTATTAAAACAAAAGGTTTATGTGGATTTGGTTGTCGTTTCTTTTGTAAGGCAGTATGAGTTTGTGACACATATCTGTAGTTCTAGCTGTGGTAGATGGATTGTTTGGGACCAGCCTGGGCAACAAAGATCCTACCTACCACTACCAAAAGGAAAAAAAAAGGAATCCCAAGAGGAAGTACTTCTGAATTCCTGTGGTATTGATAGTTTATTAGACCTTCCTGTAGCCCTGTGACCAAATGGACACCATACACAAGTATTCAGTATACCTGCCCCAGAGTGTGGACAGCTTTGTATGTGTGCACTTGGGCTCAGAGTGGACCCCAGGGCCTCACACAGTAAGCATAGACTGTACACTGAGCCACGCCCCCCCAACCTATGGTCCATGCATCTTTGTTGAAACAGTTTTATCCAGACAAAATGAAAAGAGCCCAAGTTTTGGAGGAAGCGAGGGAGGGAGGCAGCTTTGCATTAATTAGTACAGACCCTTTCCCGGCCACCATCTGTGCTCTCCTTTGTCCTTAGGTTTGTCCTTAGGTGAATGCACAGAGTTGTCTACGACCCTGCAGTGGGGTCTTGGCTGTCATCTTACAGAGAATGAAGCCATTCAGATGATTATCTGCCCCCAGAACAAGATTTAAGTCAGGTTCTTCTCTGTTGATGTTTTGGTTTTGCTGGTAATTGTATGCATTCGAGGTTGGCCTAGAACTTGCTTATTGACAGATGATGCCTTTCACTTTCCTATCCTCCTGCCTCTACCTCCTAAGATTAGGATTAGAGACACATGCCACCATATCCAGTTTATGAGGTGCTGTGAGTGGCACCCAGGACTTGAACATGCTATACACTCTACCAACTGAGCTGTGACCCCAGCCTGGTTTTTGTAAAAACAGGATTGCACAGGCCTTTATTCCCAGCACTCAGGAAGCAGAGGCAGGCAGATATCTGAGTTTTAGGCCAACCTGGTCTACAGAATGAGTTCCAGGACAGTCAGGGCTGTTACACACAGGAACCCTGTCTTGGGAGGAGCGGGGCGGGGACAGGATTGTTTTCTTGGGGCCTGATGTCCTCTGTGGGAACCCAGAAGCCACAGCTTGACATTCCTTGTCGGTCGTCTGCTGTGCTGATTACAGGACAAGGATTTAGCTGGCTTTATCATTGATCATGTTCCATAGGCACCCACTAGGAGGGATCTGGGCCCATGAGTAGGACAGCTGCCCATTCAGGTTCATTTGACCATTATGATGTTCAGGAGGGCACATGGTTGAGCCCAGGTGCACTTCTGATGTCACAGCATCAGTGCTAGGATTAACACTAAGTCCTCATGTTGACACAGCTGTGCTGTGCCTACCTACAGTGGATATGTTAGTGAACTCCCATCCTTACTTACTGGGCCTGGTCCTGCCTTACACACCAAGGCTGTTTCTATTGCTAAACAGGTGGTTGGGGCTTCCATGCCCCTGGTAAGCTGTACCACAGCCTAGCTTTCATAAAGGGAAGTGAGGGCTCTACTCGCTTAGTAAAATGGGTCATTTCTTCTGAGGTAGCACTACAAGTTAGAGACCATGTACACAGGGTGGGCATCTTATGCTCCCAGCACCAGCACCTGGTCCCAAGTGCAGGGCCAGTGTTGGAAGTAAGTGAGGGACACAGATTACTCAAGGCACTTTAAGATGCGTTCTCCAATACCAATGAAGTAAATGCCCTGGGCGATCCCAAACAGGGGGGCTATGACCAGGGCCCGGCAGCCTGCTCCTTTCATGAAGGCGGCCGCTCCCTCCTGTGTCCACAGTTTCCTGTAAAGAAAGGAGAACCTTGGTAGTTCAAGGCTAAAGCACACTCATGACTATTCTCTAAGCTTTACTTGTTTTTTGTTGTTGAATTTGGGGAGAAGATCTCCAGAGGTAGCCCAGGCTGGCCCTGGGCTACCCTCAACCTCCTGAGTGCTAGGATTATAGGATTACAAATGAGACAAGACCTCACCAGGGTTAGGCTTACCTGTGGCCCTGCCTTCACCCCAGAGACTGGAGCCATTAAATAAGCCCCACTGGAGAATCCCCAGTGCTGCAGTGTGAGGGGAGGTACCTAGCGACTCCAGTGTCTGGACTCTGTTGGAGGAGTGGGGAGAAGCATAGATTCATGGGAGAGTGAGAAAACTCCCAATTCTGCATTCTCTGAGAAGAGAGAGGCCAGCACATTCCAGAGCAGCTCCAAGTCCTGGCACGCTGGGGTCTGAGATGGGGCCCCGGGGGCTCGGCTCACCTGGCACAGTCAGTGACCCCACCGTAGGTGTCCTCTCCCAGGCCTTTCTTGAGGGTCTGGATTCGAGTCTTCAGAACTGATGAAACAGAAGTTAAAGCAAGTAACAAACACTGAGTTTGTCCTTTCCGCAAACTGAGTGGGTGTTCCCTGCAGGACCAGTTCTGCGGCTGTGTGACCAGCAGCCCTCTCTGTCTCCCCCGCCGTGGGAGAGCGTTGGTGCTTGCCTGTGAGGGGCCGTGAGGGGTCCTGAGAACTTAGAGCATCTCCTCACAGTTGCCCCGATGCCAGCTCTCATACTCAGAACTACCGGGAAGAAAAAGTAGTCTGGAAGGTGAGGGGCCGTGTGGTGACGGAGCATGAGGACACCTCTTCTGTGAGGGCCTCTGGTTAGTTTATGCCAGTGGCCGACCTCCAAGGGTGCTGAGGGTTGGGGCTGTTTCACAAGCAGAGTGCAAGCTCTGTCTGTCCGTAGGCTGTGTGAGCCTGATGGGAAAAGCAGGGTGACCCTTAAGTCCCAAACCCCAGCCCTGTCTACACCTACCGTCCAGAGGGGTGACAGCTACCGCGGCCACAGAACCTGCTGCGCAGCCTGCGGCGAAGGAGTGTGCGAAGGGGGCCTTCCCGGTGACCTCGCTGACCCCAAGCCGGTTCAGGTTCGCAAACAAGGGGAAATAGATGATGGAGAAGGGAATGTCTCTGCAGAAGAGAAAGACGACTCTCTGGGTGCCTCTCTGCAGGAGCAGTGGGGCGCAGCAGATGGGAGAAACGCCCCCGTTAGACACAGAAGCTCCTCCCCTGTCCAGCTCCCCCATCCCCACACACCTCTGTAACCTGCAGAGGAACCAACTGGAAGGAAAGCACTTTGGTGCTGTGAGTAAGGGAGGCAGGCCGCTAGAAGAGGTCCTCACCTGAGGAGAGTGGCACCCAGGCCCCTGTAGAGCCCAGACAGCCCCTGAGTGCCGAGCAGCTCCCGCGCGATGAGGGTAGCAGAGGGCCGCCTGTGGGTGGAGGCCGAACCAGTGCTGTAGGGCCGCGAGGTGGGCGCTGCTGAGGCGGAGCCCTGATGACTGACAGCTGGAGAGGAAAGGCGGCATGTCTGTACCGATCCCAGCAGGTACCCAAGGTGCTGGTGGCGGCCTCTCCCAGCCCGCCCAGCCTGATTAAAGCCCTTGGATGGCCTGCGCTTTCAGCTCCTGGAGTAGCTGCGACCGCTAGCTCTGTGAGACAGAAACGCCGAGTATGCTGCGTTTAATGTTAAAAGCCACCAGCAAATGCTCCTGTCTGAAATGACCTCCGCAGTGTCCCGGGCCTGCCTCCTCCCTTACTCGAAGACCACCACCACCACCCGCTTTATACTAGAATTTCTCTGGTTGGAAAGGTGACATGGCAGGCAATTTCTCTTGGCAGACAGGGACACATGGGCTTCCTGAAGCTGTTTAAGCTTCTCTAACCCAGTCTGGAACTTGGTGAGACTCCAGCCACAAGTGTGCACAAGGGAGTGGTGGTATTGAGTGTATTACACATTAGCTTATTTAAGGTGGTATTGAGTGTATTACACATTAGCTTATTTAACCAGACACTGTGGCTTACTTATCCCTGTAAAGAGGCCCCTGTCTCTTCCTCGGGTGCTTAATTCTTATTCTCACTGCATGTGTGGCATTATCAGCATTCTGATGTGTTTTCTGAGACAGGGTTTCTCTGTGTAGCCCTGGCTGTCCTGGGACTCGCTCTGTAGACCAGGCTGGCCTGGAACTCATAGAATTCCGCCTGCCTCTGCCTCCCAAGTGCTGAAATTAAAGGCGTGTGCCACCATTGCAAGGCTCATAATTGAAAAGAAAAATTACTAGTTTATGTGTATGTGTTTTGCCTGCAATGCATGCATTGCCCAAGGCCAGAAGAGGGCATTGGATCCCCTAGAACGGAGTTACAGATGGTTATGAGGTGCCATGTGTATGCTTGGATGGAACCCCTGTTCTCTGGACAACAAGTGCTTTTAACCACTGAGCCATCTCTCCAGTCCCCTAAGCCCCACTTTAAAAAAGTCTGCAGAATTTCAGCCTGACCATAAAGGCGTTAGCACGGAGGTATGAGATGAGTTTACACCCTCTAGAATCCAGGCTGTGTCTGCTCCTTGGTCTGGAGCTGAAAGGGTTAAAGGCATCACTGTTACACACACACACACACACACACACACACACACACACACACACACACACGTTGACTTAGAAGGGGAGCATGCACAGAGCCGGGTGCTTGGAGTGCAGTGCCGGGAGCCCCACCCCCCCACCCCCGTGCTGATCTGGCCTCACCGATGCCATGAGTTGGGATGTGTCTCACCTAAGCGGCCAGCATCCTGCAGCTGAATCTTGAGCATTTCCATGGGACAGGTAACCACCACCTGGCATATTCCAGCCCCACACCCTGCCAGCATCTCCATCTTCAGGTTCTGCTTCGTCCTGTGGGTCCAGGAGTAAGGTCCTTAGTCTGAGTCTCAGGCCAGCCCAGCCCCACTCTGCCCAGACACCTTCTTCGGTGGTTGGAACTGTTTCGTTGTTGTTTTGTTTTTGCTTTTGTTGTTGTTTTGTTTTGTTTTTTTAAGACAGGGTTTCTCTATGTATCCCTGGCTGTCCCGGAATTCACTCTGTAGAACAGGCTGGCCTCAAACACACAGAGATCCGCCTCTGCCTCACATCGGTGTTTCGTGGTTCCTGGTTTCATCTCTGGTGTACATGCTGCAGCAGAACTGAGGACAGCCTGGTTTACATACAGTTTCAAAAACACCGATGTGCTGGGCACTGGTGGCGCACGACTTTAATCCCAGCACTTGACAGGTAGAGGCAGGCGGATCTCTGTGAGTTCGAGGCCAGCCTGGTCTACAAAGAAAGTTCCAGAACAGCCAGAACCATTGCATAGAGAAGCAAACAAACAACAAAATAAAACAAAAACATTCATCAGCTAGTTACTAAACACATCTCTATATATCCTGTATATTCTCTTGAGTATACTGTCTCCGGACATAACTGTGAAGGCCTTGCCGCTGTCACCTGTCCTTACCCATCCTGCATGAGCAGCTGTCGCAAGAAGTCATTGGCTGCCAGCTTGATCGCCTTCTCTGGAGTGACCAGGGTGAGGTTTACCGCGGCCCCTGGAGATGGAGAGAAGGAGCTGTGGCCTCCACAGAGGGGACCATCCCTGGAGCCTGCCACTGACAGGCAACACTCTGGGGACAAACAGGTCTGCAGAAGCCAAGCAAGGCAACACGGTCTATCCCTGAAAGAGGGACACATCATTTCCCTTTTACTTTTTTTTTTTTTTTTTTTTTTTTTTTTTGGTTTTTCGAGACAGGGTTTCTCTGTGGCTTTGGAGGCTGTCCTGGAACTAGCTCTTGTAGACCAGGCTGGCCTCGAACTCACAGAGATCAGCCTGCCTCTGCCTCCCAAGTGCTGGGATTAAAGGCGTGCGCCACCAACGCCCGGCTCCCTTTTACTTGTAATATATTTGTTATTATCGTGTGAGGGCATGCATGCGTCCCCACACACGTGGAGGTCAGAGGACAACTCTGTGGAGTTGGTTCTCTCCTTCCGCCCTTACACCGTTCTGGAATTAAAGCCAGGCTGCCTGGCTTGTGTGCAAGCACTTCAGCTGTTGGGCTCACTTGCCTGACCCCTATTATTTCTGGGGTCAGGGGTCTTAGTACGTAGCCCAGAATGGCATGGAATTCATAATCCCCCTGCCTCCAGAGTGCAAGCACGACAGGCACGCCACCATGACGTGTCCTATGCAGTAGGCAAGCTGCAAGCTCTCAGGTGCGTCCCAGCCCTATCCCTCCCTCCCTCCCTCCCTCCCTCCCTCCCTCCCTCCCTCCCTCCCTCCCTCCCTCCCTCCCTCTATTCCTCCATCCCTCCCCCCCCCTCTCTCATGGGAACTGGGTGATCTACATTTTGTTTCCTCTCTCTCTCAAATGGGAAATACATTTTGTTTTTTGACAGGGTTTCTCTGTGTAGCCCTGGCTGTCGTGGAACTGGCTCTGTAGACCAGGCTGGCCTTGAACTCACAAAGATCCACCTGCTTCTGCTTCCCAAGTGCTATGATCAACGGCGTTTATCACCACCACCTGGCTTCACACAAGTGTTTGTCCTTGTTGGGGAGGTGGGTGTCCCAGCATGTGAAGCTTTCCCAGCACAGACCTATGGCCCACATTCCCAGGTCTCATTGTGGATGTGGAAACTGCAGGCAGCAGCTGCATGGGGTCATGTGGGGTTGAGCTCACAGCTCTGTGGGTCATTCTATGTCAGGGAGAGTAGGAGGGGAGGAAGGCAGGGGAAGGCTGGAGGCACCTGCTTTAAGCACAGCACCACCAAGCACATCCAAGGAGGCCTTAGCTAGAAGCAGCTGTCTCCACATTGAGGCTCTTGAAATCTGGGGTGGTCAAGAGCCACCCAGTAGTCCAGGCCCCAACCCAGCAGCTCCATATCATTGTGCTCTAAGCTCACAACATGTGAGTTGCACACACCACCCCATCATCCTTGATTGAGGATCCCAAACTTGTTTGGGAGTTCAGAAGCCCACCTCGGTACATTCCCAAGAAGCCCTCAGCACGTGCCGTCTTCATCAGGCAATCTGTCCTAGAAGCGGAGGCCGGAAAGGAAGTTAGTAGTGACCAAATGTACCTCCTCCCCTTCCTGGGCAAGACTTGGCCTGGCTCCCCAGATCCCTCCCTGAAGAAGCAAATGAAACCTCAGACCCTCCTGCCTTCCCTTCTCACACCAATACCTACATTCCTTTATACACATCTTTGCCCTGCTGGTTCTGCAGTCGGGTCTTGGCAAGGTCAATGGGAAACACACAGGTCACGCCCACGAGTCCTGCCACACCTCCATTGATGAGTTTCGCAGTGATGCTAGGCCGTGGGGAGGGAAGGAAGAAATGTGGGTGGTGAGAGGGTACTTGGCCACACTCAGCTAGGGTAGGGGACATGGGAGCAGGACCAGGCTGAGAAAATCTGGAACGGCAGCCACTAGGCTTCCATCTGATAGTCCTTGTCCCTGTCCTCCACACAGGTTAGGAATCTCTTTCCAGAAAGCCCAGATTTACCAGCCTGATCATCTCACAATAATACACTGTGAAGGGTTCACCAAACTAAGACACTGCAGGCCTGCTGGGAAGGGCCACCGGGGAGTTGGCCGGCCTTAGCTTGGCCTTCAAAGATGCTTCCAGCCTCTCACCCTTGGAGGCCTGTGAGAATGTTTTCAAACTTTGCAGCTGAAGGACAGGAGAATGGTGCAAACGAACCCTGGCTGAGCTTTCACTTGGGCAAGTTGCCTCAGTTCTCAGAAACTTGTTTCCCTAATCTAGTGGCCCGTGTGAGGACTAAATGTGTCAGGTAAATGACAGCTGTTGTTGAGGATGAACCACTCTCCAGGCTGGAGGTGGCTCACCAGTTAAGAGCACTTGCTGCATTTGCAGAGGGCGCAGGTTTGATTCCCAGCACCCACATGGAGGCAGCTCATAACCATGTGTAACTCTAATTCCAGGGGGTCTGACGCCCTCTTCTGACCTCTGTAGGTACCAGGCATGCACATAAATTATGCAGGCAAAACATTCACACAAAGCCCAAAATTGTTTTCAAGGTACAATGCCCTGTCTCTGACCATGTGCGCTTCTTAGCATGAGAGAACCAGGATTAACAAGCATACTTTAACTGTCCTAGTCTCTACAAACCCATGCTTTAGGCAACACGGCTCCTCTTCCTGGTCAAGGAGAGGAGTCTGGGAATAGAAAACAAAGCTTTCTCAAACCCCTTGGAAAAGTAAAATGTTCATATCTTTCAGGCTTTAAGCAGACACAAGGATAATACTTGCGACAAAATAGCTAAAAGTAGTTAACAAAAGGCTTCTTCGCAAAGGAACCTAAGTAAGCAGAGATGTGTTAAAATAATTGAAAACATTACTGCAGGGCAGAGGCGTTTAAAGAGGATCTCGTGCAGCCCAGGCTGGCCTCAATCTTACTGTGTAGCCAAGGCTGGCCTTAAACCTAATTCTTGAGCCTCTGCGTCCTACAGCTGGGATACAGGCACGCACCATCACGCCCAGCATGCAAACTGTATCTTAACAATACTCTGTGTGTGTGCACGGCCCAGCATGCAAACTGTATCTTAACAATACTCTGTGTGTGTGTGTGTGTGTGTGTGTGTGTCTGCTTGTATCTTATTCAAGGCACCCATTCTCATTTGCTCTTCCCAATCGTTCACTCTGCTTTTCTCATTGCAACTCTTCCTCAATCAGCTGTCCCCCTAGGGCCTACCTCAGGTCTTGGCTGGACATCCTTCCGGCGGTCAACCACTGGCAGCTCCTGGGACTCAGGCTGTGAGGTCCTCACAGGCAGCCGCTGTTCAGGCCAGCGGGGAGGGAAGAAGTGTGTCTGTGTCCTTTACTCTAGACTTCCATAGAGCAGATAGGACACAGGATTCCTCAAGCTCCAGCATGTTCCATGTCCTCCCTTTTGGAAATGTGAATTCAGACAGAATCCTTAACTGTTTGGACTTTGATCAGAAAATAAAGGGAGGGGGTGAGAAAGGAGAAGCCCAAATTAAGAGGCTATCCCAAAAGGTTTTGGGGGAGTTCTGGGAGTAGTGGAGACATGGGTTATGAAGAAATTTTACCAGGAGTCTCTCTCACAGTAGACAAGGACTGTAATACTTGAGATGTTCTCAAGGGTTTCTCTGTACTTGGACTGTTCAGTGCTTGTACTGTAAGTAGGCAGTGTACTGAGAGTCATCTCCCAGGGGCCTTCCCTGTCCTTGCACACCAGACCCTCCTGCCAAGGCTCCCAGGTGCTCGGATGATAAGGAGGAGGCACTGTTTTCCTCACAGTATTTCTTACTCTTTGGCATCTCCAGGCTTTCCTGAGTATTATCTGTCACTTCTAGAATTTAAGTCGCCAAGAGATAAAATCTTAGTAATTCTTCCCCAGTACTATGTCCCAGAACCAGTTGTGGATGTTTTGCCTACACGTATGCGTGTGTGCATGTGCACCACGCGGGTGTCTGTTTGGTGCTTGCAGAGGTCAGAAGACTGCATCAAGGCTCCTAAAACGAGTTACAGATGGTTGTGAGCTGCCGTGTAGGTGCTGAGAATCAAACCTGGGTCCTCTGGAAGAGCAAGTGTTCCTAATCACCCAGCCATCCAAGGCCTCCTTAATAATATTTTTATGGAAGTGGTTAACATATCTCTAAGAGAGTCATTCTCCTCCTTCTTTCCCACTCTTTCCTTCCCCAAAATAAAAGGCCTAGAGATGACTAATACTTGCTTGGCAGCCTCAGGAGGGGACCCCAAAGCAGCTTGTTGTAGAGGCAGCTCTAGGACTAGCCTAGGTGAGCCTTTCCTGATGTTTCCCACTGGGCTGGAGGCAGAAGACACTCAGAAGGGGCAATGTTTCTTGTTCTTTAGACAGAATTTTATGTATCTCAGGCTGACCTTGAACTTGATTATGTAGCTAAAGACATGCACACACCCTTCTCCTTAGGGCATATCTTTCTCTGTAGTACTTTGTAACACAGGACAGCCTTGAACTTGGATCCTGTGCCTCAACCTCCAATTATTACAGTTTCTATTTCCAGTCTTGGTGTTTTCCTTATGTGACAGTCATAAATGTAACACCAGACACGGTGGCGAACACCTTTAATCTCAGCACTCAGGTGGCAGAGGCAGGTGGATCTCTGTGAGTTCGAGGCCAGCCTGGTCTACATAATGAGTCCCAGGCCAGCCAGGGCTACAAGGAAGACCTTGTTTCAAAAACAAACAACAACAACAAAAAAACAACCAATCAAACAACAACAACAACAAAAAACCCCAGCCTGGCACTTGAGAGGCAGAGGCAGGAGGATCCCTGTTAGTTTGAGCCTGGTCTACAGAGCGAGTTCCAGGACAGCCAAGGCTACACAGAGAAACCGTGTCTAGAAAGTCAAACCCTAAGTAATTCAGTAAATCCATAGACGAAATGCAGCTTTGTTTCATATGAAACTTTAGAAAACACTGCCTGGCAGTGGTGACTCAAGTCTTTAATCCCAGCACTCAGGAGGCAGAGGCAGGTGGATCTCTGTGAGTTCAAGGCCAGTCTGGTCTACAGTGTGAGTGCCAGGACAGCCTCCAAAGCTACACAGAGAAATCCTGTCTCGAAAACAAACAAAAAGCCATAATCCCAGGCAGGATGGCCAACACCTACAATCTTAGCACTTGGATGAGGCAAGAGGATTAAGCATTCAAAACCATCTTCATCTGCATAGGGAGTTTGAGGTCATTGTGGGTTCTATAGCAAGTCCCTGTCTCATGTCACCCTTATTTCTCACATTAAAAATTTTCAAAAGTTACAGATAGGTGGTGGTATTACACAACTTTAATTGCAGCACTCGGGAAGCAGAGGCAGGTGGATGATCTCTATGAGTTTGAGGCCAGCCTGGTCTACAGAACAAGTTCCAGGAAATGCTGACTACAATGTCAGTGAGGTGTGGGCAGGGTTTCACAGGCAGCCATGCAGGTGTGAGGCCCAGGCGGAGCCTACAGGGGTGGGATTTGGCTCATCTAGCTTGTGCCAGAGCCCTGGACTCCTCCCCAGAACCGCCAAAAAAAACCAAACCAAACCAAACCAAAAAGCTGGCCAGACACGACCCTGCTGGCTAGTGAGCAGAAAGGGCAGCAAGGCCAAGAAAGAAAAGTTAGAAATGGATGCGGGGGGGGTGCTGAGCAGAGGGCTGACATGCTCAGGACAGATCCATGTCAGCTGTGGGCGGAGACAGAAGCATAAGGCATAGTAACTCAGGACAATCCCAGAGCACACACTTCCTGGTGGGCCAGAGCTCAGAGAACAAGGGCGTGGAGTTGGTGGTGGGAGGAGTTATCTGTTGTCCAAGCAGAACTGAGGTCTGCAGGAAAGGCAGCCGAGAAGCCAGCACACTCAGAGGGGATCCAATGCAGACATTGCTACTTCGGGAGCGCTTCTGTGGCAGGCTTTGATTTTGCTGTTTGTTTGATAATGGGGATTGAACTCTGGGCTTGGGCCTTTCTGTACCAACAAGCCCTATTTTACTTTGTTTTGTTTTTTGAGACAGGGTTTCTCTGTGTAGCTCCGGCAGTTCTGGAACTCCATCTGTAGACCAGGTTGGGCTTGAATGTACAAAGATTCATTGTCTCTGCCTCCTGAGTGCTGGGATTAAAGGTGTGCATGACCTTCCCCCAGCATCTATTTTAGAGACAGGATCTTGCTAAGTTTGCCCAGGCTGGCCTGGAACTCACTATATAGTCTAGGCTGGCCTGGAACTCACTATGTAGTCTAGGCTGGCCTCCAACTTGTAATGATTTTTCTGCCTCAGCCTCCCATCTAGTTGAGACTGTGGCCTTACTGATACTAGTCCTTGTTACCAGCTCCTGCCTAAACGCCAGCTGTGGTCTCGTCCTTGGATCCTGAGACAGTCAAAATGTTACTACCATGTATGTTTTATTCATGGTGTGTGCGTGCGCGCGCGCATGTGTGTGTGCGCGCGCGTGTGTGTGTGTGTGTATGTGTGTGTGTGTGTGTGTGTGTGTGTGTGTGTGTGTGTGTGTGTCACAGCACACTGTGGAGGTCAGAGGACAACCCTCACGTTACAGGGTTTGTATAGCAACTTCTTTTACCCATTGAGCCATCCTACACAGAATTGTTTTTTTTTTTTTTTTTTTTGAGACAGGGTTTCTCTGTGTTTTCCTGATTGTCCTAAAATTCCTTATAGACCAGACTGGCCCTGAACTGAAAGATCCAGCTGCCTCTGCTGGGATTAAAGGTGTGAGTCCCCATGCTGGACTTTTTATTTTTGAGACAGTCTTACTTGCAGCCCAAAATGGCCTCCAATTTGTAGCAATCCTCCTCCTTCAACCTCCTGAGCTCTGGATTACAGGCTTGAGCAACGACGGTTTTATGCAGGCCTGAGAACTAAACCCAGGGTTTAAGGGTTGTTAGAAAAACACTATTAACTGAGTTACATTACCAGCTCACTTTTCTTATTTTTAACTGTTTGTCTGAGTTATTTCCTGTGGAGGCCGGAAGAGGGCAATGGAGTCCCTGAAGCTGAAGTGATGAGCTTGTGAGCCACCTGTTAAATGTGCTGTCCTCTGCAAAAGCAACGTGCTCGCTCTTAACCTCTGAGCCATGTCTCAGCTCCCTAGACTGCTTTAATGTATACACACACAATCTATATACATGTGTATACAGATATAAAATCACCCACATATATACATACATACACACATACATATATGTGCATATATATATATGTGTGTGTGTGTGTGTGTTCATATAAGTCAGAGAACAAAGAGACACCCTGAGCCTGGGCACTCATAATATCAAGCTGCAGTATTTGCTGGTGGGTGAGTTTCTTACCCTGCAAATCACAAGATTCCTGCCAAAGGGAAATGAATGGGAGTCTACAGATAACTAGTGTGTGTGTGCCCGTCTGTATGTGTATCACGGGTCCATAAAATCCACAGCAGGTGGAACTGGAATTACAGTAAACTACCTGATATGGATGCTAGGAACCAAACCCAGGGCCTTTCCAAAAGCAGTAAGCCTTTAACAATAATTCTCTGAGTAGCCCAAGCCATCCTGGAACTCAAAGAGATCTGCCTGTCTCTGCATCCTGAGCACTGGGACTAAAGGCACGTGCCATCACCACCCAGCTGCAACATGCTCTTAACATGGAGCCTTCTCTTCTGTCCCATGGGGGGAAAAGTTTTTTTTAATTATCTTTAATTTAGCTGGCCACAGTTTTAAAGGAATCAGGAAAATCCTGAACTTGGAAACAGGCCCATACTGCCCAGAGTTCAGCCACTCTGTTGAATGCCTGCAATGTGACAGGCAGCCGGGTTGTAGCGGACTGAGAAAAGATCCCTTTCCCTTCAGGGAACTGAGATTTTACTGGTGCCAGCACTTTGAAAGGACAAGGCTGGCAGTGTGGCTCAGTGCGGAGTGTGAAGACCTCGTGGGTGGGAGGTTTTACATTTGGGCCTGAGCACTAAGGGGAAAGGTTCTAAAACCTGGTGCAGTGATTGCCTCATTCCTGACCAGGGACAACAAAACAATGTCCCATGCTCCTTCTAATGAGCGGACTTGCTCTTTTAGCCAGCTTTAGGACGTAACCAGTGTCTTTACTAAATACATGACACTCTTCAGATCCCAATTTACAGATAGCAGCTTAGTGTTGGAAAGAGCCCACGTTGAGGACAGGCACAGTGGGCCTGACAAGGAGCAGAGAGCAGAGTGGGGCTGGGGCTGCTCCCCAGTTCCAGCTGCTCTGGCTCACTACTGTGGGAGTGAGCCAGCCAGATGTGGAGAACTGTGGCGGCCAGGTGTAGCACTTTTGTGACCTTGTGGGTAATGAGAAGAGAGGACCCTCTCAGGGGAGGTACCGTGTGGCCTAAGGCTGATTACTCTGGACGAACTGGACAGGATTAGGAGAGGGTGCAGAGAGA